TAAAAAAAAAAAAAAAATTACTTTTAGCAAAGAAATGCAGTTTTAGGTTTTTATAGATACATACATGTAGCAATTCATGGCAAGCACAGTGCCTCCATATGGACAAAAGAGCTAAATATTAAGTTAGGATTTTCAGCTGTCACAGAATTGGCCATTTGGAGGCAATCTTCTGGGCTCTGGGTCCAAGTGAGTCCTGGTAGTATAGCTTGGTGGTAAAGTAAGTAGGCTCTGGAGTGAGACCGCCTGGGTTTGAATCCCGGCTGTAGCACCCCGCCGTGTGACCTTCGATAAGTTCCTTAACTTCTCCAGGCTTTAGCTTTGTCAACCTAAGTCAGGGATATTCGTACTTTTGTTGTTGTTTTTGAAACAGAGTCTTGCTCTGTTGCCCAGGCTGGAGTGCAATAGCACGATCTCGGATCACTGCAACCTCTGCCTCTGCAGTTAAAGCAATTCTTCTGCCTCAGCCTCCCGAGTAGCTGGGATTACAGGCACACACCACCACGCCCGGCTAATTTTTGTACTTTAGAGACACGGGGTTTCACCATGATGGTCAGGCTGGTCTTGAACTCCTGACCTCAGGTGATCCACCTGCCTTGGCCTCCCAAAGTGCTGGGATTACAGGCATGAGACACCACGCCCGGCCTTAGTACCTGTTTTTATGTTGCTGTAAACATCAAGGGCTAGTATGTGTAAATGCAGAGGACAATAGTATCCGTGCTCAGTAAACATCAGTTACTGTCACAGCGTGAAGTGATCAGTAATTTTTCTGGATAGGTGTCTGATTCCTGGGCTCAGTGAGGCAGTGTGAAGAGCGCTCACCCGGGTCCTAGACAGGTGGCATCACATATATACTCACTGTCAGGCTATGATTAAAAAGAAAAAGGAGCTTTCTTTGTGGGGATAAAAACAACTTGCAAAGAAAGCCAATTGCTGATGCTGAAAGTGTGGAGTGGCCTCAAGGCTCTGTGTGCTTCCTGGGGAAAACAGTGGCATTTGGGTTCTCTGCGCCTCTGGGTCAGATCTTTGACAAGGTCAAGGGTCTGTTGAGTCAGCTGGGCACACAGCCCAGGGCACACACATCCAGACCGTGATTAGCGCAAGTTTGCCAACAGAGACTTCAAGGAGGAGATTGCCAGAGAAGTGCAATTAAGAGCACCTACTGAGTACATATATACACACTGGCATATATTAGCCCAAGCAGATAGAAGGTGTATTGGGGGGAAAAAGTTATGGGAGCAAAGCAGGAGGGCCAGGCCTGGTTTCATAGGCTGGGGCTGTGGTTGGGGGTGATAGGAGGACTCAGGAAGTGGTGCTGGGGAGATCCGTGGTGGAGGATGTGGCCTTGGTGTTTAAGCTAATAGCCAGCAGGAGCACCATGGCCATTGCTAGCCCCTGTGGTGCCAATTAGAAAAAGATGTCTCCTCTGAGGACACCAGTGAGAAAAAGTCACCCCTTTTGGTGGGAGGACAGCGTCAGGCACAACCTTGTACAAGGACACATAGCTGGGCAGCAGAACTTGGGCTGGATTTCAGCCCTCAGTGGTGCCCTTTGGCCAGTGAACAACCTGTGCACCTGTACATGGTGGCCCTGGAAGCCACTGTGGCTCTTATCATGACAAGTCCAAGAAGAGAGCAGAATCGGCAGTGTTCAAGAAGTGTCTGAACCGGGCACAATGGCACATGCCCATAGTCGTAGCTACTCAGGAGGCTGTGGCACGAGGATCGTTTGAGACCAGCCCGGGCAACATAAACCCTGTCTCAAAAAGAAAACAGTTCCCCCCACTTACATGTAGTCCCCTAGAGATGAGGGGCTGGGATGTCCCTTGCCCACGGCCACCCCCCGGCTGTTCCTCCTCACTGTCTGTGTTTTCCTCTCTGGCGGGGCGCGGGGCGGCCCCTAGGTGTCCAGCCACATACAGGTTCTAGCTCGGAAGAAGGTGCGGGAGTACCAGGTTGGCATCAAGGTATGTTGGGTGCCTGATGGGGGCCATCAGCCCTCCTAGCCCCTCACCTGCGGCACTATCTCTGCATAGCTCAGGCCTCTCCTTGGCCCACTCTCCAGCCCCACTGTGCCTCTTTTCTGGCTGAAGCTCTGTTCCTGCCTGTCCTTCCGCTCTTTCTGTTCTTTTCCTTTCTTTCTTTTTCTCTCTACAGGTCTCTAGCCACTTGCAGGTTCTAGCCAGGCGGAAATCTCGGGAGATTCAGTCCAAGCTGAAGGTATGGGGTCCCCACCACCCAGCCTGGCCTGCCCAGCACCCTCCCAGGCGCAGGCCTGTCGCTGCTCTGTGGTTCCAGCCTGGGACAGGCAGGGGGCTGAGAAGCTGTGAGGGGGTCCAGAAAGAAACACAAGTGGCAGCAGGAAGCCCAAGGCCCTGCCAGGCTGCATAGGGCCACAACCCCTGGAGACTGAACAAGAGCCCCCAGCCCTATAGTGAGGGAGAAGGAGACCATCTAGGGGCTACTGAGGCCCACCTCTCCTCTTCTCTGTTTTTCTTCTTCTCCTTCCTCCTGACTGCTGCTTACTAACTGCATGGGGACTTCAGTGGGCAGGGAGGAGGCCCTGGGGTACTGGCCAGTGGGGCTATAGAGGTGGGCATGGCAGTTCCTTGCAGATCTGGCTGTCCTGCAGCTGCGGATCTCAGACTGTGGGGTTCATGACCAAGGCCCTTCTCAGGGCCTCATGCTGGCCGTGTTCTCTTCTCCCTGCCCACAGCTGTGCAGTGGACGGGGCCTCTCACCCCCAGGCCCCCATGCCCAGAACCCAGGGGACGCCAGCTTGTTCTCCCTCACTCTGCCCTTTCCAGGGCTTGCCCCAGCTGGCAAGCACTCCCTCTGGGGGGACAGGGAGGGTCCGCTGAGCTTCCTTGGGCTCCTCGGAAGCTAAAACCCATGGGCACTGGGTGGAGGTAGGCACCCCACAGTCCTGGTGCTGCGCACGTCCTCTAATCCATCTTCCCTCTCTCCCTCACAGGCCATGAACCTGGTAAGTAGCATGGCCCTCCCCGGTGGGAGGAGGGGAAAGGGTCTTAGCAACTAACACAGGATTTTCAAATGATAGATTATGAAACCAGTTTAATAGGTGCACAAGCCTCATTTTTTTTTTAAAA